GAGGGGAAGGGGGCGTGTCTTGGACATTTTAACGTTCTTCCCTAGTGTGCGGTTCTGATCGACTGTCCAAGACTAGACCCAGCCAGGGACAGGACACCCTGTTGTGGGTTAGGGTCTGGCTTCGGTCTGCCGTTGCTAAGGATGACCCACGCCTGACTTTCCGTAGGACTGAGGTATTGATCTGTTTGTTGGGTCCACAGTTGCTCGTCATAACCCCTCGGAGAGACAGGATGGTGGAGCCCACTGGGACCTGCTACAGGATGTTTCTAAAAACAGCAATTCTGTAGCCAGACCTCAGCGGTCACCTGAGACCCACCTTGAATTCTAAATGTTTCATTGCTGTGGACACAGCTCAGAAAGGGAGCAACAAAGTGCGTTTCCCAGCACGAGCGCACGCAGGTGCAGGCCTGGCAGACACGGTGTGAGCGGACGACTGCCCTGTCCTGCAGGGACAGCCTCACAGGGCGTGTGACGGACAGCTCTGCGTCAGAGGACACTCCGTTGTGAACTCTGTCGGTGAACATGACATTTAAGGTCCATTTAGCTCCCAAAGGGGCCTCTGTGCCGCTATCCTCAGCACGATTTCTCCCTGCTGCCTGGAGTGGGTCCTGAGTGTCTCACGATTCCAGACAGGCGCTGTCCACACCAGTCCCAGGAGCAGAAAGACCGGCGTTCCTGTGTGGGACCCCGAGGACCCAAGCACCCCTCCAGAAGAGCTGCTTTTTCCTCTCAGGAGAAAACGTTTCTCCAGGTGCTGGGCAGTCATCTCCGTCTGCAGCTTGAAGAGAAAGTGTGCAGATGAAGTAGTGACAGAGTCCCAAAGCAACGAAACTCTGACATCACAGATGAATCATCAAGACCCCGGCCGCCACTGCCTGTGACCAACGCCTATTCCGTGGGCAGCCACTTAACGTGCTGGCCTGAGGGCGGGGCCGACGCTACCAGCCTTCAGGTGCTCAGAGGAGAGCATCAAGTTAAACAGAAAAAGTCTGTCAGGAGGAAAATGACACTCGGCATTCAATTAAAATTAATAAAAATATTTTATTGAATTTCAGGAACTTGGTACTTTTTTAAAATTTCAAACCTTTGCACACAAATCACCACTATGCCTTCCGGAATAGTGGAGTTAGGACCTGAAGATTGTCAGTCACTCATCTCCTTGTGTCACAGAGCACAGAAATCCCAAGTCCTGACACTGCCCCCTCCCCGCTTCTGGCCACGACTACCAACTACTCTGTTATTCCAGCGGAGGACAATGACGGAGTGGGCAGGAGACTGAAGGAGACCAGCTGTCCACAGGCGCCCTCCACTGCAGGGAGAAGAGGGCAGGCCAGGGATCCTGCCACGTGCACCCAGCGCACCACGTACCGCGGGCCACACGTGAGTCCCCGTTGGTTTCTCGTTTGGTTCAGGGCAAAGCTACTGAAATTCAGTCTAGTCCCTGAGGAGCTCAGAAGTTTGGCAAAGGTCAAAGCAGAGACTTCCTGAAAACAAGACACGGAGGAACACAGTGGAGAGCTGGGAGTTCACTGCGACGCAGCTGAGGTGCTGCAGCCCCAGCACCGGGGGCTGGAGCCAGGCCTGCGGCGACAGCAGCTCAGCGACCCTTGCTGTGCTCAAGTTCCTGGGGGATCAGAGCCCAAAGTGTAAAAGTGCCTCAAAGACTGGCAAGAAGACCTGGGTGTGGGAGTCTGCTAACCTAGTCTTTCTCGCCTTGATCTTAAATCCTACGTACCCATGAAAACGCCATGCGAACGTGGCAGTGAGGAGAGGGGAGCGCACAGGCCCCCCATCCGCGAGAGGCACACTTGAGCCTGCGTTCCAGATGCAGAATGCTGCCTACAGCAAAAAAGAAAACTTCTTTAACATTTAGACTTGGGCATTTTCCTTACCTGTGATCCCAACAGATCCAGATCCAGACCTACAAAGTCCACGTTCCAGGATCAGAAGTCACCCGTTCCCGGACCGAGCTTACACAGGGAAAATCCACCTGACTCCACACACAGCTGCATAAAAACGTCCCCAGCAGAACATACGACGCATCCGCGTGGTGTCCAAGCCACGCTCCCACTGGGTGACCTTGCTCGAGAGCGGGTCTCCTGTCAGAGAACCCCACAGCTGTGACCAAGAGCTAGACCCTCTGTGGAGGGACCTGACCCCACACAGGACACAGCAGAATCCTAATTCTCTTACAAAGTGCAAACCTCTGAGTAAGACGACAAAAATATACATTCCAAGGTATCTGTAAAGTGCTTGGAAGATGCAGACGGCTGCACCAAGGGTCGCGCCCTCCACACGCTGTAGGCTGCTGCGCTCACACACACGGTCTCAGTCACGTGATGCTTTCGTCTTTATTTCTGAAACGGCCGAGTTATAATCCAGCTAGTGTGCAGTAATTTCATTCAACATGCGTCACGACAGTGACGCTGCCACAGCCCCATGCTGAGGGCCACACACAATTCACCCAACAGATTCATCATATTTGGTCTTTATGTAAATAATAGTTTTTAAATTGCCTAAATATACCATTCTGAGCCATTTCATCCCACCAGGAAAATACGGTTTTCCTCTCTAAAAAAAATTAAATACCAAAATAACTACATTTAAATAAATAACGTTACGATGATGACAATAAAAATCTCGCACCAGGCTGCCGCCCTTGCTCCAAGCGCACTGCTCGGCCCTCGGCTGGCACGGCACCCTCGCTCACTCGGGAAAGGGGAGCCGGGCGAGGGGCGCGGGGCCTCCCACTCCTTCCCTCACCCCCTCCTCTCTCTCTGTCTTCTGTAGAGGAGTCAGCCTCAGGACTGGCTTCAGTTCTGAAAGGTCAGGACGTTTTCTGCCGAAAATCAGGAAATGCCCAGACGTCCCCTGCAGGGCGCGCTCGGCCGCTGCTCCGCCGTGGATGGGCTGGAGGGCGCCTAGAGCTGGGAGGACACCCAAAATACAAACATACCACGAGAGACCTGGGATCTGAGTTTCAAAAGGGCCTGTGATAAAAGACTGAATCTTTTTTTTCAAATGAAGTAATGGTTCTGTCGTTTTAAACATACACAATACTCAGGAGACTTGTTTTACTCAGAGTGGAAAATTTTGCCAGGGACAAAGTCAACACAAAGAAACAACAAAAAATGGCCAAAAGGGAACAGTTAAGTGCAGCTAGGCGAGTCCCGGCAGCTCCTTCCCAGCACCAGCTTGTCCCTGGGCTCTCAGGGTTCCACGTGGCCACAGCGTCCGTCCACCTGTCCACGGGAGCCACATGCTGAAACGGAGGTGGATGAAATTCATCAGGCAGCTGCTGTAACATGGAAACGCGCAGCTGCCACAGAGTAGCTTCATCTGAACTTTAACAAGACAGACAAAAGGAAATCATTCCATAGGCTGAAAACAAAAAGCTACGTTGTGTCATTTCCCCAAATGAAATCCACTGAAAGGTCCTGTGTGATTCCAGAAGTCTGAGTAGAAATGGAGTGATGTGAAATGCCCAAGACCCCATGATTCTGTAAAGAAAGTACACCTCAAAATACTCTAACTCCACATGTGAGCAACAGAACACCGTCTGGTCCCCGCTGCCTGGTGGGTCCTGTGAGGGCGGTGGGGAGGGCTCCCCCCACGTCCCGAGGACCTAGGACTGACTGCGCCGTCCCCACATGCGATGCCTGGTCCTCCTGGGAGGACCGAGAGTTTCACTCGTAGGTAAAAGATGAGCCTAAAGGCAACGGCCCAGCAGGTGCTCAGTGGGGGAGACACTGTCTCCAAAATCAGGTTTTGTTGTGTGTGGTTTTTGTTCAAGTGTGACTTCTGTCTAAATTAAGGAGTTTTAAGGCCACCTGGGTTTTGTGTTTTCAGTGCTGAGAGGTGAAGTCCAACCACAGGGCCCTGCACCCACCGAGAGCTGGCGGGAGGCGATGTCTCCTTTTGGCACCACAAAGTCGATACTGTTGAAGAAAAGCTCCCGGTCACTAGTTCTGGACACCCTTTTCCCTTACGGCTGCCGGTGGCGTGTCCACACTCAGGGCAATGACAATGCTCTCGCCGTCTTCGGTCTTGATCCGCTTCAGCTCCGGCTGCTCCAGCTGGTCGCCGTTCTGGCGCTTTGTGGGCAGGGAGGCTGATGCAGACGCATGCGTCGCTAACATGTGCAAAGGACTCGCCACTGCTGAAAAGACACAGGGAGTCAGAACCCCAGGCTCTCAGATGAACCCTCGCCCTCTGGAGTGCTGAGGGCTCCCACAAGACCCCCGGGACTGGCCCACGGTGGCCAAGGGCACAGGAGCCTGAGCTGAGCCCTTGGGCCCCCCCCAAGAAAACTGCAGAAAGTTCACTGCCTGATTAGCGGACGTTTTTATTAACAGCTGGGATCATCTTTATGGCCCTGTCAACAGGCTTTTCTGATGTCACTGCTGGGGGAGAAGGGCTGAGTCCCGTAATGGTTGGGGCGGGAGATGGCTCTGCCGGCTTCGCCAAGGACTGGCTGCTGCTGTTCTCCCCACCCTTGCCCCCCACCCACAGGAGATGCTCCCGGGCCATCCCCACACAGAAGGGAGCCGGGAGCCACCTGTTCCTCAGGAGAGAAGCACCGCCGTTTCTCACGGCCACTGCTCACCTGTGCCCTGGGTCAGTCCACAGAGGTGTGTGGGGCAGAACAGAGACTGCTCGGCTGCTCACGGCTGACCAGGCTTAGTAATTCCAAAGGCAAAGCTTCCAAACGATGGATGATGTTATGTACCAGCTTAGCTGACCTACAGGGCCCGATTTTGGTCAACCATTACTCCGGATGCTTCTGCATAGTTACTTCTTTAGATGAGACTAACATTTAAATCAGTCAGCTCTGAGTAAATCAGTTGACCGTCAAGACTGGGTGGGCCCCATCCAATCAGGTGAGGGACTGAGAGAAAAGACGGGGTCCTCTGAGGGGAAGAACTCTGCCCCCCGATGGCCTCTGGACTCTTCAGAGCTCCAACACTGACTCCTCCCTGGGGTTCAGGCCACCCTGCAGATGCTAAGCTGGACAGGCCCCTCAAGAGAGTGAGCAGATGCCATAAAACCTCTCTCCACGCCACCCCCTTGGCTCTGCTTCTCAGACATCCTTACCCACCAGGTGCCGACGGGACCTGGCACCTCCAGCTTCCAGCACAGGTCAGTCCTCCTTGTGGCGGCTGCATTTCTGGAAGACGCCATCACCCCCACTTCTCAGTGGGCCCCGTGATGCTCTGAGAAGCAGGGGCAGGCCTCCAGGCTGCACACACACCGTCCACTGCACTTCTCTAACCTCAAGCCAACTCAGAGCACCCAGGGAGGGAGCACAAACACACTCCTGGGGGGCCCCAACCCAGCCGGACAGCAACCCCTTCCCGCTGTCCCAGGAGCCTCACAACAGACAAGCCTACAGCGCAGCACCTGAACCCAACCACAAACGCAGAACACACGGCGCACTCTGCCCTGGTGCCCGAAGGTGCGGGAGGGGCACTTGCCCATCCCGTCCATCAAGAGTCAGCCCTCTCAGACCACAGGCACTGGTGTGACACACACACCTCCCGCTCACAGTCCCCTCCATGGACGCTGCCTGGTCAGGCTGAGAGCTCCACTCTCAGCCCGAGGCGTGGTCAGCCGCAGCTATGTGGGTTGGGCACACGCACGCCCCGTGGTTGGGGCAGCCACGAAGAACGGCAGTCAACACTGGGATCCCAAGAGACTCAAGCAGTGAACAGGGACCCAGAGGCATTGGGATCAGACCCCCGTTTGGGAATTCACAGCATGGCCCCGAGGCCACAGAGGTGGATTCCCCGGAAGATGTCAAACCCCTGTCTACAGTGTGGACATCCGACTTTATTGGGTTCCCTTTTCCTTTACATCCCTGAGCAACAGAAACAGCAGAAGACAAATTTACACACAAAAGATGAACAAGAGATCACACCTGTAATCCCAGCACTTTGAGCGCCTGGGGTGGATGACCTGAGGTTAGAAGTTTGAGACTAGTCTGGCCAACATGGTAAAACCCTGCCTCTATTAAAAATACAAAAACATTAGCTGGGTGTGGTGGTGGGGGCCTGTCATCCCAGCTACTCGGGAGGCTGAGGCAGGAGAACCACTTTAACCTGGGAGGCAGAGGTTGCAGTGAGCGGGGATCGTGCCACTGCACTCCAGCCTAGGCGACAAGAAACTCCATCTCAAAAAAAAAAAAAGGATGAACAAGAAGCTGCTCAGCTTCCAGAAAGCACAGCTGCCCCAAAGTAGGAAGCTGGTCTGAGGAAGAGGCTTGGAGCCCAACGACAGGGCAGGGGAGGCACGGGACACCGCTGAGCCCACCCATGTGACCCAGAGGACCTCTGCTGGCTCAGCACTCTCTCAAGGAGACCCCCACATGCCCTGACGTCGACTTCCTGGCACCTGCAGCAGGGTGGCCCCACAAACAGAGGCGCACATGCACCCAGACACCAGTGCTCAGTCAATGTCTGACAAGCACCAGTACTCCTTAAAGAGACAAGGTCACTGCTGTGGTGTCAGCCTTTGTCCCTTCAAAACGTGTGCTGAAACTCAATGCCAACGCGGCCTAATTCAGAGGTGGCATCTTCAGAAGGTGACTCGACACGGAAGCTTTGCCCTCTCGAGTAACTCAATGCTGTCACTGAGGACAGGTTCGTGATTCCAGGAGTGAGTTCATTATAAACGGGTGACTGCGCGTCCAGCCCCCCACACGTAAGCACACAGGAAGAAGGCCCTCGCCAGCCTCCAGAACTGTGAGCTGATCCATTTCTGTCCACGAAAAATTACTGTCTTAGGTGTTCTGTTATGGCTGTGCAACAAGACTGAGCCACCTAAAGAAGAGCCTCACCCTCACCAGGACTCGAGTGAACCCAGAGAATACACAGTGACGCAGGCCGGGCACGGTGGCTCACGCCTGCTACCCCAAGGGAGGCCAAGGCAGGCGGATCACTTGAGGCTAGGAGGTTGAGACCAGTCTGGACAACACAGCAAGACCCTGTTCTCTATAAAAAAATAATTTTTAAAAAGACATAATACTAGAGATTGTAGCTTGACTGGAGGAATATGTTTGGTGTCGTAGAGCACGGAGGTGACAATTCAACAGCAATACACACTTTCAAACAGCCCGAAGGACACTGAAGGTTCCCAACACTTAGAAACGGTGACCGTCTGAGATGGCGGATGTGCCAATCACCATGAGTTACACGTGTCGCCACATCACTACACGCCCACACACAGGCAGAGTTCTTCTGTGCTAATTACAGAACGGCAGTGAGAGGCGGGCGCGGTGGCTCACACCTGTCATCCCAGCACCTGGGGAGCCGGTGATCACCTGAGGTCAGGAGTTCAAGACCAGCCTGGCCAACATGGTAAAACCCTGTCTCTACTAAAAATGCAAAAATTAGCTGGGCGTGGTGGCACATACCTATAGTCCCAGCTACTCAGGAGGCCGAGGCAGGAGAACTGCCTGAATCCAGGAGGCAGAGGTTGCAGTGAGCCAAGGTCATGCCACTGCATTCCAGCCTAGGCGACAAAAGCAAAACCCCATCTCAATTAAAAAAAAAAAAAAAAAAAAAAACTGTGACACTGAAGTGCTCCCATCCATCCAGCCCTGCCCCCAGAGCCTCTGTCGCTAGGTACCCACCACGGGGGCCCACGCAGACACCCGTCACACAGCAGCAGGGCTGTGCTAACAGACCCAGCCCTGAAAAGGGGAGAAGAGGTCTCAGCAGAGGCGCTGAGGGAGGTGGAGAACGCTGACAAGTCCATAGGCCGCAGGGCCTTGGAGGCGCCGGAGCTGGCGATGGTGAGGGAGGGCAGTCCCTGGGGGAACAGGACCAAAACTGACCCCTCTGCTCCTAGAGAGATGCTCCTAACGAGGCCCACACATGCTCTCTTGGGAAGGCACCGAGCTCGGCTACTGGTCATCTAAAACAGCTCAACAAGACGTCCATCCAGCAAGCACTGAAAACTGCTTTGCAGTGAGGACCACACGGTGCCAGGAAGGACCTCCTGGACAAGGAACGTGACGTCTGAGCCCACGTGGGCTGCATGAACACACGTGTGGCACAGGGGGTCATAGCTAGTCCATGGGCCTGCAGTGACCCTGCCCCTGAGCAAGTGAGGTGGCACAGCGGTCCTCGCCCAGCCCCTGCTCCTTGCTGGCAGAACTCGGAGATAGGCATGCCCGGTGTGTTCTATGAGAGCTTTGAGCGCAGGGAGCTCACACCACGCCTGACAACTCCAGGGACTTTTTTATGCAAGCCCAGGAGGACTGCAGGAATCTCCTACCACAAAATGGAACCTGAAGTGAGTGAGGCGGGGAGGGTGGTCACTGGAATAAAACAAACAGGAAATCAAGGAGTCGGCAGAGATCAGCAAGAGCGGCCCCGCTCGCTCTGCGGCTCGCTCTGGGTTCAACACCGTCCCAGGTAAGGCACCAGAAGGCTTGGGGAGGAATTCTAACGTTCACGTGGAAACACCACGGACCTAGGCTGGCTGAAGCGATTTTTAACAGGAACCAAGTTGGAGGACTGACACCTCCTGTGTGGAGACTTGATGAAGCTCAGGCCCTGCCACACAGACTGAGCACAGGAAGTGCACCTGCCCAGAAACAGCCCCCACATGTGCCCGGTCCAGGGGGCAGGAGGATCACTTGAGCCCAGGAGTTTGAGACCAGCATGAGCAATACGGTGAGACCCCATCTGTACAAAAGAAAAATATTAGCTGGGCATGGCTGAACACGCCTCTAGTCCTGGCTACTCAGGAGGCTGTGGCGGGAGAATCGCTTGACGCCCGGAGTTCAGGATTGCAGTGAGCTGTGATCACACCACCGCACTCCAGCCTGGAGTGTAGTGACCCTTTCTCAAAAACCAAAAAACACAAGAAGCAGAACCTGAAAAACGGGCAAGACAAGCCACCGACGCTGTGACATCTCCGTATTACCTGTCACAAGGAAAGGACAACCTGACGTTCCCAAATCTGTTTATGGATTTGTATAAAGTCTTAGAAAAATAGGCAAATGACCCCGGCCTCATGGCTGCTGCATCCACGCTACCCCGGTGGTTAGAACTCACCTGTCCATAAAATGCAGTCAAAGACGACAGGTGCTTTCCTTTCTGTTCCTCCATTTACTTATTTTACTGTCTCCCAGGCTGGAGGGCAGTGGCGTGA